GGCATCTGTACCCTGGTCCTGCAGTAGGGTTTAAAGGCTGCGCCAAACCTCTTCTCGCTCTCCCTTCGCAATGCACTTTAAATCCTTGAAGCGTGGGTCGAGCACAGTAGCCATCTTAAGCCATTCATGATTCAGAGTAGCTGCACGTTGGGATAAGTCCTTTGTGAAGGCAGTCTTGAACTTCACCATGTAGTTTGAGTCATCATCAGAGACTGCCATGGTGTGATGCAGGTGGCAGAGAGCAGGTAAGACAACTGAGCATGAGACATAAGTATCGCCTCCCAGGAGCACAGTCACGAATCTGCAGTAGAAAGTCCAGGAACAATTTTTTATAAATCTACAATAACTGTCAACTATAAAATAAAAACAAACTGTAAGAAAAAAGTTTTATTTACCTGCATGGCTCAAGGACACTTGCCAGCCTTTGGAGTTTCACCAGCTCTGATGGAGTTAACAAGACTAGTTTGTGTTTCTGTTTGTTTAAATCAGCTGAAACTGCTTCTTGATTGTTTAGTAGACGAGAGATCGTATCCGGTGTTGAATTCCACCGTGTGGAAACATCTTGTATGAGAGCCTCTTTTTCTTTCCCCAGTCTTGTTTGCTCCTGGTGTAGCTCTTCTGTTTTAGCAGGACTGTGTTTAAAGTGCCCCACAACTTTGCGACATTTTGCTAATACGTCACTAAACCCACTGTCGGCAAGGATAACTGTGATGGCTCTTTGCAAGATATAAGCAAAACAAGGCATGTGTTAGAATGGGAGGTGTCTTGCTGCAGCCACCATGGTTCGTGCTCTGTCAGTCCCAATTGTGGTGACCTTTTCTCGAATTCCCCATTCCTCCGCCACAGAGAGAAACTCCTCAGCACAGAGTTCTGCATAGTGTCTGGTGTTCGACTTCTGCACAGTCAGGGCAAAAGACTGTAGATGCCAAGTACCATCTGTGACAACTGTGTGTGCAGTGACTCCGACATACAAACACCGCCAGCATCTCCTGGAGCCTGTGGCGGGGTGCTGAGGGCCGGCTCCAGCCCAAGAATGAGCTCTCCTCGCCCGCCGGGAGGGTTTGAAACACCGCCATCCTCTCCTCTGCTGGAGACCATGGCGCGCTGCTGCGCCCGCGTTGTTCATTCTGTTATGGTTCCCGGTGCTTGTCTTGCAATGTGAAATGCTTGGTCTCAGATTTTGTAAGAAAAATAATAAAATGTCCCCCCAAAATACGACTTAGATATATTTTTTCTTCTTCATTCTACATTTAATGGCTGGTGCGAATCAGGAGCGATAGCCCGGAAAAAACGGTACTGCTAACTTGCTCAAAGCAAAATATGTTTTCATTACGGAAATAAATTATAAACTTACTGATTTAATACTTTTTTAATCCAGGTACATTTCACGAAAAAGCGCCGAAAACCTCCACCTAAACTTCTTGTGAGGTTCAGGTCGATGGGTCTTCCACAGTTAGCTCCGGTTGGGTTGAAGCTAGGTGGCTACATCCGTTAGCTCGGCTCCCACCTCCGCATTAGCTTTGGGTTAGCCAGGGTTAGCTTCAGGTTAGCTTGTAGCTAGTTCGCCCGGGTGTCGTCAGTCGATCCCAGCCTTACAGCCCCACCCTCAGCTCCTCCTCTCTTGCCTTTTATGGAATTGTCTGGGCTGGACGGAACCTGTGACACGGTCAAAATGGTGGTGGTGGCCACCTCCCATTTTAGACAAAAAACTTGTTATTGGAGTCTATGGAAACCCATTGTCCAGTATATATGTCGATGGGTGGTAGCCAAAGGCAGGGACCTTGGCGGTCTGATCCTCGGTTACAAAAGCTAGCTCTTGGGTACGTGGAATGTCGCCCCTCTGATGGGGAAAGAGCCGGAGTTGGTGTGTAAGGTTGAGAGGTTCCGGCTAGATGTACAGGTCCTTCACAAAAAGCAGCATATTAAGATAAAGTTCATTATTGTCGTAATGTACTGATAAACATTAGACTTTCATATATATTAGATTCATTACACAAAACTGAAGTAGTTCAAGCCTTTTATTGTTTCTAATATTGATGATTTTGGCATACGGCTCATGAAAACCCAAAATTCCTCTAAAAAATTAGCATATTTCATCCAACTAATAAAAGAAATGTGTTTTTAATACAAAATAAGTCAGCCTACAAATAACTATGTTCAGTTATGCACTCAATACTTGGTCGGGAATCCTTTTGCAGAAATTACTGCTTCAGTGCGGCGTGGCATGGAGGCAATCAGCCTGTGGCACTGCTGAGGTGTTATGGAGGCCCAGGATGCTTCGATAGCGGCCTTAAGCATATCCAGAGCGTTGGGTCTTGTGTCTCTGAACTTTTTCTTCACAATATCCCACAGATTCTCTATGGGGTTCAGGTCAGGAGAGTTGGCAGGCCAATTGAGCACAGTAATAATACCATGGTCAGTAAACCATTTACCAGTGGTTTTGGCACTGTGAGCAGGTGCCAGGTCATGCTGAAAAATGAAATCTTCATCTCCATAAAGCTTTTCAGCAGATGGAAGCATGAAGTGCTCCAAACTCTCCTGATAGCTAGCTGCATTGACCCTGCCCTTGATAAAACAAAGTGGACCAACACCAGCAGCTGACATGACACCCCAGACCATCACTGACTGTGGGTACTTGACACTGGACTTCAGGCTATTTGGCATTTCCCTCTGCTCAGTCTTCCTCCAGACTCTGGCACCTTGATTTCCGAATGACATGCAAAATTTGCGTTCATCCGAAAAAAAAAGTACTTTGGACCACTGAGCAACAGTCCAGTGCTGCTCCTCTGTAGCCCAGGTCAGGCGCTTCTGCCGCTGTTTCTGGTTCAAAAGTGGCTTGACCTGGGGAATGCGGCACCTGTAGCCCATTTCCTGCACACGCCTGTACACGGTGGCTCTGGGTGTTTCTACTCCAGACTCAGTCTTCCGCAGGTCCCCCAAGGTCTGGAATCGGTCCTTCTCCACAATCTTCCTCAGGGTCTGGACACCTCTTCGTTGTGCAGCGTTTTCTGACACTTTTTCCTTCCCACAGACTTCCCACTGAGGTGTCTTGATACAGCACTCTGGGGACAGCCTATTCCTTCAGAAATTTCTTCCTGTTTCTTACACTCTTGCTTGAGGGTGTCTATGATGGCCTTCTGGACAGCAGTCAGATCGGCAGTCTTACCCATGATTGCGGTTTTGAGTAATGAACCAGGCTGGGAGTTTTTAAAAGCCTCAGGAATATTTTGCAGGTGTTTAGAGTTAGTTGATTCAGATGATCAGGTTAATAGCTCGTTTAGAGAACCTTTTCATGATATGCTGATTTTTTGAAAGGAATTTTGGGTTTTCATGAGCTGTATGCCAAAATCATCAATATTAGAAACAATAAAAGGCTTGAACTACTTCAGTTGAATGTAACAAATCTAATACATATGAAAGTCTAATGTTTATCAGTACATTATAGAAAATAATGAACTTTATCACAATATGCTAATTTTTTTAGAAGGACCTGTAGTTGTTAGACTCACCCCAACGCATGGCCCTTGCTCCGGAACCAGTTTCCTCGAAAGAGGTTGGACTTTCTACCACTCTGGAGTTCCTCCTACTGAGAGGTACCGAGCAGGGGCGGGTATACTTGTAGCCCCCATCTTGCTGCCTGTACGTTGGGTTTTACCTCGGTGAGTGAGAGGGTAGCCTCTCTTCATGTGAGGTAAGGGTTCTGAGTGTGGTTTGTACTTATGCACTAAACTGCAGCTCAGACCCACCCTTATGAAGTCCTTGGAGGGGGTGCTGGAGAGCGCTCCTTCAAGTGACTCCCTCGTTCTGTTGGGGGACTTTAACGTTCATGTGGGCAATGACAGTGAGACCGGGAGATGTGTGGTTGGGAGGAATGGCCCCCTTGAGCTGAATCTGACTGTTGTTTTGTTACTGGACCTTTGTGCACATCATGGATTGCTCATAAATGTACATCATGTTCAAGCATAAAGGTGTTCATATGTGCTCTTGGCACCAGGATACCTTAGGATGCAGAATGATGATTGACTGTAGTCATTTCATCTGATCTGCGGCCGCATGTCTTGTACACTCGGTTGAAGAGAGGGGCGGAGCGGTCAACTGACCACTACCTGCTGGTGAGTTGGCTCTGATGGTGGGGGTGGAAGCCGGTCAGACCTGGCAGGCCCAAACGTGTTGTGAGCGTCCGCTGGGAACATCTGGCATAGTCTCCTGTCAGAAAGAGCTTCAATTCCCACCTCAGACAAAATTTCAAACACGATCCGAAGGAAGTGGAGGACATTGAGTCAGAGTGGGCCATGTTCAATGCTTCTATTGTTGAGGGGGCTGACCGGAGATGCAGCCACAAGGTTGTCGGTGCCTATCATGGAGGCAACCCCCGAACCTGCTGGTGGACAGCAGTGATTAGGGATGCTGTCAAGCTGAAGAAAGAGTTCTATCGGGTCTTTTTGGCCCGTGGTAATCCAAAGGCAGCTGATGGGTACCGGCAGTCCAAGCGGTCGATCTCCCGATCCGTCCTACCCTCACTTGTGAACAAGACCCTGAGATACTTAAACTCCTCCACTTGAGGTAGGACCTCTCCTCGATCCGGAGTTGGCAAGCCACCATTTCCGGTCGAGAACCATGGTCTCAGATTTTGAGGTGCTGATCCTCATCCCAGCCGCTTCACACTTGGCCGCGAACCTACCCAGCAAGAGCTGAAGGTCAGAGCTGGATGAAGCTAGGAGGACCACATCATCCGCAAAAAGCAGAGACGAAGATTCGCCTGCCACCAAACTGGACACACTCCACACCACGACTGTGCCTAGAAATTCAGTCCATAAAGGTAATGAACAGAACCGGTGACAAAGGGCAGCCCTGTCGGAGTCCAACCCTCACCGAGAACAGGTCCGACTTACTACTGGCTATGCGGACCAAACTCACGCTCCTCTGGTAAAGGGACTGAATGTCATGATGGGTGGTAATTTCTTAACCCACATGAAGAATCACTCAGGGATAAGGTAAGAGATGATAATAAAATCTTTATTTTATAAAGAAAACAAAGCGAAAACTGAGGGCGCTGATCCAAACGGGACAGGAAACGAGGCAACTCCGACTCTAAGAAGAACGGTGAGAGTGATTAGATACTGAGAACCAGGAGATGAATAATCATGAGAGGAACGGGCTTACTGAGTTGAGCAGGACGAGGGGCAGGAGGGAGAGGCAAGTCAGGTTGATGCAGGGAGGAGATGGTCGCTGGAGGAGATGCTGGATCCAGGAAGGCAGGTGAGCGGTGGAGAGCAGGAGGCCAGGGAAGCTGAACGACGCTTGTGATAAATCACACCTCTGGCAGGTGGAGGGAATCCAGGGCTGGTACAGACAAGAATGTAGAGCTGGGTTAGTTCAGGTAAACAAGTCTTAAAGTCAAGGCACAGATAAGGGCGTGGCTAGATGTACCCAACAGTAGAGTATCAACCGGCATTGAGGTGTGGCAGCACCGCTCCTTAAATCTTCTGGCCAGGCTGATGGTAATTAGCTGCTGCTGCTGCTCCCCAACACACTCACCTGCAAACAATGAAGGGAAAATAGCAGCAGAAGCAGAGAGAAGGCAGAACCATGACAATACCCCCCCCCCCCCCCCCCCCCCCCCCAAGGGACGCCACCCGGCGGCCCAGCCGAGGAGGAGGAGGAGGAGGAGGAGGACTCAAAATCCCTGATGAGAGAGATGTCATCAATCCACAAAGCGGGAACCCACTGACGATGCTCCGGACCGTATCCCTCCCATTCCACAAGGTATTGACGACCGCGACCCCGGGGGCGAACATCCAGGATGCGCCGGACCCGGTAGCCGAGACTGCTGTCAGAGAGCCGGACAGGAGGAGGAGGCTCAGCAGGAGGGCACAGAAGACTGGACACGAAGGGCTTGACCAAGGAGACATGGAAGACCGGGTGGACCCTCATGGACGAGGGCAGGGACAGGCGCACAGAAACAGGACTGAGGACTTCAGTGATGGTGTAGGGACCGATGAACCGGGGGTAGAGCTTCCTATTGGCACCCTTAAGTTTAATGTCACAGGTTGACAGCCATACCTGCTGGCCAGGAGCGTAGGCGGGGGCCGGACGGCGGCGCCGGTCAGCCAGCCGGCGGTTGCGGTCGGCAGTCCGTTGGAGAGCGGCTCTGGCCTGGTTCCAGGTGCGCCGAGCGTGACGGATGAACTGGGGAACTGAAGCTGGGGAATCGGAGTCGGAGGGGAACAGAGGTGGCTGATAACCCAGAGAGATCTCGAATGGGGACTGACCTGTGGTGGAGGAGACATGAGAGTTGTGTGCATACTCAATCCATGCCAATTGGTCGCTCCATCCAGACGGGTTATTGGAGCAGACACATCTCAGCATGGCCTCCAGCTCCTGGTTCATCCGCTCGCACTGGCCGTTGGTTTGTGGGTGGAAGCCAGAACTCAGAGCAGATCGAGCCCCCAGATGGGCGGCAAACTCCCTCCATACTCGAGACAGGAATTGAGGACCCCGGTCCGAGAGAATCTCCAAGGGGATCCCATGTAGACGGAAAACCTGAGAGATGAGGAGGTTGGCGGTCTCTGCAGAGGTTGGAAGGTGTTTAAAAGGGACAAGATGACAGGATTTGGAGAACCGGTCAACAATGGTGAGTATGGTATTAAAACCCCTGGAGACGGGTAGCCCAGTAACAAAGTCCAATGCTATGTGGGACCAGGGGCGTGATGGAATAGGCAGGGGGCAGAGGAGACCATGAGGTGACTGGTTGCTCGACTTGTTTTGGGCACAAACCTGGCATGCGCCTATGAATTCCTTAGTGTCCCTGTAGAGAGACGGCCACCAAAACGTCCGACGGATGAGGGCAAGAGTTCTACCCACGCCAGGGTGGATAGAAAACCTGGAGGTGTGGGCCCACTTAATTACTGCACTGCGAACAGAGGAGGGAACATAGGTTAGGTTAGGGGGGCCCGTACCTGGGTCAGGGTCTGTCTGCTGGGCCTCTAGGACCTTGGTGGAGATGTCCCAAGTAATAGACCCAAGGATACAGGATGGAGGAAGGATAGTGGTGGACTCAACCTCCCTGCCCGGGGCGTATAGGCGGGATAGGGCGTCAGGTTTGGTGTTCTTGGTTCCGGGTCTGTAAGAAATGAGGTAGTTAAAGCGGGAAAAGAACAGAGACCAGCGGGACTGGCGGGGATTAAGCCTCTTGGCCTCCCTCAGGTACGCTAGATTCTTATGAACCGTCAAAATCAGGATGGGATGTTCCGCCCCCTCAAGCCAGTGCCGCCACTCCTCCAGCGCCAGTTTTATGGCCAGCAGTTCCCGGTCTCCTACGTCGTAGTGCTTCTTGGCTGGGGACAGACGACGAGAGAAGAAAGCACACGGATGCAGGGTCTTATCGACTGGGGAGACCTGGGATAATACAGCACCTGCTCCGGTGTCAGACGCATCCACCTCCAGGGTGAATTGCAGGAGAGGATCTGGTCGGGTGAGGATGGGTGCCTGGGTGAAACGCTTCTTCAATGTCAGGAAGGCCTCTTCGGCCTCAGGAGTCCAAGAAAAAAACTTGTTAATGGAGGTGAGTTGTGTGAGAGGGGTGGCTATGGTACTGTAGTCCTTAATGAATCTGCGGTAGAAATTGGCAAAGCCCAAGAACCGTTGCAGCTGTTTTCTGGTCGTGGGTGAGGGCCATTCCTCCACAGCTCTGATCTTTTCCGGATCTGCCTTCAACTTTCCGCTCTCCAGAACAAAGCCCAGAAATTTGACGGACGAGGAGTGAAATTCACACTTCTCTGCCTTGACAAAAAGACGATTCTCTAAGAGGCGTTGGAGGACTGCTCGGACATGATGGCGGTGTTCCGTGGGAGATCTGGAAAAGATGAGAATGCCATCCAGATAAACAGTGACAAACTTGTTGAGGTAATCGCTGAGAACTGAGTTAATCAGGGACTGAAAGACCGCGGGAGCATTGGTTAATCCAAAAGGCATGACCAGATATTCAAAATGCCCGAGAGGGGTCTTGAAGGCGGTCTTCCATCCGTCTCCCTCTCGGATTCGGACTAAATGATAAGCATTTCAGAGGTCGAGTTTAGTAAATATGGAGGCATCATTGACTGGGTCGAATGTGGATGAGAGCAAGGGAAGTGGGTACTTGTTTTTGATGGTTATGTGGTTTAATTCCCGGTATTCAATGCAAGGACGTAGAGATCCATCCTTCTTGGACACAAAAAAAAATCCCGCTCCCAGGGGTGAAGTGGAAGGTCTTATTATGCCCGCAGCAAGGGATTCCGAAATGTTTTGAGTCATGGCTTCATGTTCTGGTCTAGACAAGTTATACAACCTGCTGGTGGGTAGTTTGGAATCTGGGATGAGATCGATGCGCATGTCGAAAGGTCTGTGGGGTGGTAACGTCGAGGCGTGGTCCTTGCTGAAGACCTGCCGGAGGTCGTGGTATTCAGGAGGTACTCCTGACAGGTCAGGAGACTCAGGGGTCTTGGCCTTGGGGTTGAGTATAGGGATAGAGGCAGATGATAAACAGTGGGACAAACAAAAACTGCTCCAGTTACAGATACTCCCTGTTCTTCAATCAGTTTGTGGATTATGCGTGGTTAACCACTCGTGGCCCAGGACAACAGGTGACTGAGGGGATGGAAACACAAAGAAGGAGATTACCTCATGGTGGTTACCGGATACCAGTAGGTTTATGGGAACCGTCTGATGGGTGATGGTAGTCAGGGAACAACCGTCCAGGGAGGACGCGCGGAGGGGCGTAGAAAGAAGAACTGTGGGAATCTCCAGTTGTTGCACCACAACCTGGTCCAGTATATTGCGTTCGCACCCAGAATCCACCAAGGCAACTGCAGAGAAGGTTTTGTGATTAAAGGAGACCACACAATTCATGGAGCACAGGGGTCTTGGGTTAGCAATGCCACCCACCAGTAACCCTGGACCTACTGGTGGGTGCGATCTTTTGGCCGAACAGGGCAGTGTGAGATCATATGACCTGCTTGACCACAATAGAGACAGAGACCAGCAGTCCTCCGCCTCAGTTTCTCCTCAGGAGTTAGCTGAGCCCTGCCCAGCTGCATAGGTTCTGTCTACGACAGTGGTGGTGTCGGGGTCGCGGTGTGCATCTCAGGGGCAGTGACGGGAGGCAGCTGTCGGGAACTCCTACGCCGGTTCTTGAGGCGTTTTTCGATGCGAGAGGCAAGGGAGATTAGACTCTCCATGTTCTCAGAATCTGGGCAGAAGGCTAACTGATCCTGAAGATCTTCTGATAGGGCCTGAGAAAAGGCGGCTCGGAGCGACGCGTCATCAAGTGTGGAAATGGATGCTAAAGTTCTAAATTCAATGGCAAAGTCTAGTACAGATAATCTCCCCTGACGTAAGTTCCAGATCTGTTAAGCTATTTCCGCAGGGTTGTCGGGAGTGTCGAAAATTTGTGTGAATTCAGACAGAAACTCAGGGAGAGGACCGAGTAAAAAACCAGGCTGGCGACTCCTAGCCTCGGCCCATAGCAATGCCTTCCCACGTAATAATCCTACAATAAACGAAATTTTTACCGGATCACTTGAAAAAGTGTCAGGAGATCGTTAAAACGCTAATTTACATAACAACAAAAAACTCCGACATTTGCCGGGCTCACCTGAGAAGGTGTCTGGTGTGGGAGAATCTGCGACCCGGAAATGACCTGGTGATGGTGGAACCGGAAGTGACGGAGCGGGTGGAGCGGAGGGATTGGATGAGGCTGTAGCACTGAGTTGAGCCCGCAGCTGGTGGTTTTCGGCGTCGAGATCTAGTAACCGTTGATTGGTGATAGTTAACTGTTCGAGCACGGACTGAATGGATCTTTCGTGCTGGGTTAATGTGGAAACTAACGCCGGAGGAAGTGATTCTGTCATGGGATCGGTAGTTTGGCCGGTTGACTCTGTCATGATGGGTGGTAATTTCTTAACCCACATGAAGAATCACTCAGGGATAAGGTAAGAGATGATAATAAAATCTTTATTTTATAAAGAAAACAAAGTGAAAACTGAGGGCGCTGATCCAAACGGGACAGGAAATGAGGCAACTCCGACTCTAAGAACGGTGAGAGTGATTAGAAACTGAGAACCAGGAGATGAATAATCATGAGAGGAACGGGCTTACTGAGTTGAGCAGGACGAGGGGCAGGAGGGAGAGGCAAGTCAGGTTGATGCAGGGAGGAGATGGTCGCTGGAGGAGATGCTGGATCCAGGAAGGCAGGTGAGCGGTGGAGAGCAGGAGGCCAGGGAAGCTGAACGACTCTTGTGATAAATCACACCTCAGGCAGGTGGAGGGAATCCAGGGCTGGTACAGACAAGAAT